CGGGATTACAACGTAGATAATAAATAATATAATATTAGAATAAATATTATTTAAATTATCTATCTGGATTCTGGATACTTGTACTCAGAGGGTTAGAGATAAGATAGGGTAGCGAGATTAAAACCGCGACATGGACGGTGGTAGTCGTGGTTAACAATAGTACAGTTTATTGGGTAATAAACTATTTATATTAAATATAATATATATATATACATTCATTTGTATAGTAAGGCGATAGACAAATGAGAAATACGTTCAACTGTTGACGATTGAGGCATCGATTGGCCCGACTAAACTGATTCGGAATAATGTGGTCAAGAAAAAAAGACATGACATGCAAAATGTATTAAATAATAAAACATTAAAATAAATGAAGGTATACCTCTACTTATTTATATATTATTATAACTGGTATTGTAGTTTTTTATTTTGTATATCTTTTTTTTTAATATACGAATACAATACCTGTCGCTCACACTATATTATGTACAATGCATATAATATATTATGTTATTTTATCGACTCCAGAGTTATAGCTTATAATTTTCTGTATGGCGGTGGCTATATAAAATTGGTAGGGTTAGTGTCTCTCTTAAATATACAATAGCGTCTATTGTGCTAAGATATTTCATTTATACTCTAAAAAATACTAACCTGAAATTCGGTATTCAGTTACGCATATATATTTTGTTCTTCTTATATTATGATAAAACTACTAAATCTACCACGCGTTAGGTTAGGTTAGCGTGACGTGGTTTGAAATACGCTCTATCAATGTGAAATTTAATGGATATTCATGGATTATTAGTTATAACTTTTAAAAAATATAAAACTATATTTATATGTCTATTTTTAATCTTACGACCAACAATCATGCCTCAAATGGTTAAAAATTAAATGTTTTTACCACTAAAATGCATATAATATTGTGCCACGAAATTTTTCATATTTTTTAACATATTTTATGAACCAAAAATGTTCCAATATCGAAGAACACATTTTTAACAATAACTTGATTCACAACTAAATTTATTCAACCGAAAACTAATTAAATACTTAAAAAAAATATATTTTAAACTTATTGTGTACAACTATATTTAACGTTCAAAAATCCCCACAACTAAAAATGTGTACGTGAAATACGTCACTCGTTTTGATATTTCAGCATTCTAATCTATTATGACGAGTACTTTAGATTCATGCTATACTTTGAAAATCGAGAACTACCACGAGGCATTACATTAAACATTTTATAGAAAAGCCGGATATTATACAAATACCACACGTGCCAGGAGCTCGTGTTGACACAGAACTGCGGAAGTGAACAGACCTCTGAGCCATATATTATAATTTTCTCGATCTTAAAGTATTAATAAACCTTAACATTTGAACACAGGTTATTATCTGTTAGAAGCTAAGTTTAATCATAAATATTTAAGATACTATATCTCTCTTTTTTTTTTTTTTTATCGCATACGCTTAAAATGACTGAGAAAATCTAAAAATTGACCTCTCTAAAGAACATTTCACATATTTAATTTTCAATTTTTACTTTAAATTTCGCCCTTAGTACGATAGTTTCGTATTTAAATAATTTCCATTAATAATCATGCAATATTGTGAGAAAAAAATTCAAGTATGGTTCGCATACTTTCAATATCTCAAAGTTCTAAGGAAATAAAGAAAAAAATGAGACACGTAAATTTTTTTATAAAATACTTAATTTTAAAAAAAAAGAACGTTTTTTTTAGTAGAAAATAATTTTATTAAGATTTTAAAAATGTAGACATTTTATATTAGTTGATACTTTCGTTTGTTTCATATTAATAGCCATTTTATTACGGGCATTAATAATATAATAAAATATACCTACTTGTGTACTAATATCTTCATAATATTTAAATGTTAAATATGTTACGTTGAAAATTGATTGAACTGCAAAAGATTTGTATAAAATGAACTTTCTATGCTTAAAAAAATATACTTTTAGTCGATCAATAGAATTTTTTTACTAAAAAACAGTCATGTTAACGTCAAAGTACAAAAAAAACAACTACTGGAATGCAATAAAATACAATTTCAAATGTACAAAAACTCCTGGTAATCCATTAGTCTAAGCGAACGCAATAATTTAAAAATATTATCTTAATTTCGTAAGTCTGTAAAGCCTATATAGATAGAATATATCCAAAGCAATATAAAATACACAGTATCACTATTAATCCACGGCAGATGCGATTATATTTGTGAAAATAACGATTTATAAACGGACGGCAAAGAGAAGCGTAGGTAAATGAAAAAACGCGCGCATAAAATTCCTCCGAATAATAAACGACAAGCAACAGCAGTCAAAAACGATCGAGTTTGTTATTTTTACGCCTGTTATATAATTTGTCTACAACCCGTGAACGTATACCGTTTTAAACAAGTATCGGGAAAAATATTACTCCCAGGTCCAGCCACGAACATATGCTAGGTAAGTCCTCGGTTTCTGCACGTGATTAATATGTCCATTAATAATGAAATATAACCAGTAATTAATGTTATGTAACCTAATCGAATGAGATATGTTTTCAAATTTGGCATTACTAAAACAGTAAAAACATCTAAACAATGTACCATAAATAAAATCACTGATGTATTGAAAAATAGCAACATATTAAAAATACTATAAACGTACGAAATAATAATGGTCGAATATTTAATTAATGTATTTGACTAAGTTATTATTTTCAATGACAAAAATAATATGAGAAAAATGTCTGGAAAAAAATATCGAGCAAATGTGTACCTACTATTTTTTTTTTTTTTTTACACAAAATTAACAATGAAATTTTACAAACAGTATTATAACAAAATTTAAGTGATGAACTATGAGAATACAAGATGATTCGTAACGTATAATGAAGAAAAAAGGAAACCAACTAGTATTTAACAACATCCGAGATATAGCTCTATATTAATGTAGGTACAAAACTGTAGCAAACTGAACAGGATTAAACCGCGTTCACAAGAGAACTTTGGTGATAACCACGGCAGGATTCAGACAAAGCTGGTGCACGTAAACGGTACCTAAACTAGATACAAGACCTTTTTGTTTTACGGCAGATGGTACAGAAAACATTGAACGTATGACGATGGTAGATAACCACCTTATTTTCATATACACTTAAAAAGACAATTCCGTTTGCGTATTGGCATGGTATTTTTTTTTTAGAAGGAGAATTAGCAATTAAACGGTTAAATAGATTGATGGTTATTACAAATCAAGATGGTGTTTAATTCAAACTCGGGGGAAACATCAGTAGTCATTATAAGTTCAAAAAGATTGAGGCGAGAAGGAAGAATCGAAAAAAAATATTGCTAGGAAATAAATTTACGGAGGAAACGATGACTAATTGAAGAATTGTTTGAGAAGACTACAGGCAGAAAATACGAAGGTAAGACGGAATAATGGTTTTAATAACCAATTTACCACCAATAATTAATGGATATTATATAAACAGTGGTGCTTACCCTTATATAGTAAACGTAAATCGAACCGATTACTGCTGTTAACGACTCAGGGGAAACTATGTCAATCGAATGTTTCGTTTTTCGTTTGTCGATATATCTTTATAGTGTAGATAACTATTAATTATTATAAATCGCTTTCACTCCGCATCTGTAGACACGTGTCATGACTATCGAGCGACGTGACGTTGATATCCTGCATAGTCGGACTAGGAAATCATTTCCGGGAGATCCCCCGCGCACGGCTGTCACGTAGCTCATGACAAATCACAAAAACGGGAGAAAGGTTGGTGGAGATGTACGAGTTGTCGGCAAATGTCATCGTTTACTATAATATAATATTTTCCAAATCGTCTTACAGCTAAAGATTTCTTGGATTACTTGCATAGTATATAATTAAAATAAAAATAATAATAATACACAAAAGGACTGTATAAACAATTCAATAGGGGTGGAAGAGGGATGATAAAGAACTGCCTTGGAAATGCCGCAAAAACCGACATCCAGGTATAGGCGTTTGCCTCGGGCGATTTATAGAGGCAAAAAATAAATAAAAACGATTCCTCGCCGGTCGTCGTCTTTTAGTTGTCAGCGGTGGAGCACGCAAGAAGAACAACACGCATCGGGGTCAGTCAGCAGCGCACCTCCCCTCCACCCACCCCTTAACGCGACCAACACCGCCGACACTGTATCCCGAAATCACCACACATATACTCACGAGCGCGCGCGCATACCACGGTAGTGGTAGTGGTGGCGGCGAGCACGCGACGGACGGCTGTATGCACTATTATACGTCTACGTGCGTGTGTACCACGGTTTGTTTATGGAGAGGGGTGAGGAGGCGGATGCTGTGCACGAGAGCGGGCGTGGTGCGTTCTGGTACCGCCACCAACACCACCACCGCCACCACCGCTGCCACCATCACTACCACCGTCGACACCACCGCCGGTGCAAAAGGTCCCCCTCTCCGGCCACCGCCGCGTCCGACGACCATCACACTACTCCCGGCCGTAGTGCGGTCGACGGTGTCCGGGGACCGACGATGACGGCGGCGACGACGACAACGACGACGACGACGACGACGACGACTACAACGACGACTACGACACGACGACGACGGTGATAGCGGCGGCGGCAGGCACAGCGGCCGGGCGGTGGACGGGATGGGCCAGCGGGCGGGCTGCCGGCGGTTGAGGAGTGCTCGGAATTATCGAACAGCGGCCCCGAAACCTTTATGACGGGGGCGAAGCGCGCGCTTTCCGCAGCCTCGCTACGGCGCGCCTGGGCCGCGAGAGAGCGAACGCGACGGCGCAGCGCGGGCCGAGGAAAGTGGTGTAGAGCGGACCGCCGGGCGATGACGAAGGGACCACCGCGGCCGAGGGGGGCGGGGTGGGACGCCCTAGGCAGAGCGTGTGCTGCGCGCTTCCCCAGCGTCCGCCGCCGCCGCCGCCGCCGACGCCGCGCGTGGTGTTGATGATAAACGAATACGCAGTCTGGCCGTGCGGTGCGCGACACACAGACGCCCGCGTCCATCGCCGCTGTCGTCGTTGTCGTCGTCTCGTTGACGAGACACCGCCGCGCGTGCCGAAACGCCGCCGATTTGTATCCGACACTCGCCGTCTATGACGATCTATATGACATACTGATATAATTATTTACGACCGATCGATCAGAGACGTGTTCCTATATTATAATAAACGTCAGCGTTTGTGTGTATTATATAATAATTATATATCTATATATATATATAATATCATAATAAAATAAAATAATTACGGAATCGAACACGTTTCTGTCGTCCGTCCCGTCCCGTTTCACGTACTTGTCGCTGGCGTTTTCCGCCGCCGCCGCCGTCGTCGTAGTCGTGTGTGGGGTATACGCGCGCGAGTGACATGTCTGACAAGCCGGGCGCCGTTAACGCGACCGCGTCTGCAGAGGAACCGGTCTGTGCCGAGGCCACGCCGCAGCCGACACCGCCGGTGCAGCAGCAGCTTGACGAGGGTTCCCGACCGTCGCCAGCTAGACAGCACCAGAACGGTGGTTCGTCGGCCGCCATGGCCGGGGTCGTCCCGTCACCGGACACGCCGCGGAAGAGAGGTATGGATCGCCACGCAGGCGAGTTTTAATAATAAACGTCATCATATAGTGCCTATACAGTAACGCCACATTTGCTTAGGCATAAGGCACGTTCAATTTAACCTAGGGTGACCATATACATGCAGGGTTTTAGTTCACTGTTTTTGAGCACCGTCACGTCCCCTTGGTCAAACTTCAAAGGGGTCGCTTTACTTCTCTTTTTTTAGATACCAAAGTTAATAGTTATGAACGTAAGAGTAACGGTTTTCGTATAACGATTGTGATCGAAGAATGGCCACGAAAAACTACAGTTAGCAATAAGCATAAGCCATTTTTAAGTTTCACTATTAAAATATCATAATATCTGAAACGTTTTGTAACAACATAAAAATCGTTAAACAATTTTTGAAGGTTTTTTTTTTATAGTTTATAGTCAAGACAAAATAATTTTTATTTTATAAATAAATATCATCACTCTACGACTATTTCGGGTCGAATCGGTTCGCAAAGGCCGTTTAAATTGGTCGTATAGGTCAGTCGTCAGTACCGGTAGTCCGTAAACGAGACGATTGAGCCAATTTATTTACGTTTCTTAAGTGCAACGTTTATATACTTGTAGCATTATGTGAATTTCTTGAGGAAACGCGTACGACGTCGTTATTATTAAGAATGTGCAAAAATTTTGGAATGGGGACGGACTACGCAGCCAATAATAATAAAAATTGTCGGCGGTGACATAATATAATATAATATTATTATACACAGCTGCAGCGGCTGTACCTACCATATAATATTAATATTGCTTTCCATCGAAACGCGCCGTGAAGACGACAGTACAAATATATTTTATTATCATATTACTCCGAAATTTAAAATAATATGTACCGGCTAATCTGTACGAGACCAACGAAACGTCAATAATATATTACTATTACATATGATCATGTCATATCATCGTCTCGGCACAGGACCCGTACAGCGTACGCATTTATTATTATACTTATGCGTATATTGTATCGATTGATTCCATATCCGACCGACGTCATTGCAACGGCCGTCGTTGTCCGGGCATATTATTTAAAATTTAAATCAAAAAATTTGCGTCTATTACCCATTTTATATTGATATAGTCATAATATTACCTATTATACGAATTCATATCAATCTATACATTCTACTACAATGCGTATATTGGCACACTGTCGTATATTATATTGGGCAATATATTATTTCACATCGTGTGTACGCAATGCGATGTCACCATAAGACTTCTGAGAACGGACGGAGACAGATTTTGGATGCGCGTCAAAACTCAAGACGAAAAATCGCCTTATGGTATTATTATACTACGAGATTACATTTAACTATATTAGGTATGATAGTCCATACGCACATATTATATCATTATAGTCGGGGTTAAAATGTGTTTTGAACAAATTGTTTTCAATATACCTAAATACAAGACTTTTAAACAAGTGGTTTTGTTGAAAATATTTTATACATAAATGTATAAAAAAACATAAATTTATAGCATAATTTTTGCTATAAAATATGTATTTTATTTGTAAATCACAATATATATACGACTATGATGTAGATAATAAAATAATTATGTAACTTTATAATATATCTATGAATTACACAAACAAAGCATTTTTATAAATTAAAAAAATATATACTTAAAATTATTTAAAATATGTTTAAGACATTACAAAAAAACAACGTTTTAAACAAACAAAAGTTTGTTTTGTATTATTTGAAAAAAACTGTTATTTTTCCAACCTTAAGTTGTTCTTACTAAGTAAGAACATAACCTATACAAGCAAACTATTGTTATAAAATGTTCAATGGTATTACAATTCAATTTTAACAATATTATTATAATGTAACAAAAAAGTTGTATTTTTTAACAACCCAAATTTGGTACCTCATGATTTAGGTATAATACTAAGTACTATTTTAAAATGAAAAAAAGACGCTATGATTCTTAAAACTGATATTAAATAACTTCATAAAACAAAAAATACAACTTTAAAACATATACTACCGAGTATTTCATTAACATTCCTATTTAGAAAATACAATAAAATATATAAATGAGAAGTGATAATAAATTTATCCAGGGAGACAAATGCAACTTAACCCATCAAACCCCCCTATTAACCTTGTGGGTCTACCATCGTACTCACGGTATAAGTAAATAGTTCCAATACAAATTTATCGTTGTAAACTATTTGTAACTATGTGTGGCCGAAAACCGCAGCTTGAACCGATTGCCAATATTAAAATATATAGTTATGGCGATTAACCACGAAAAATATGTGCTTATTCATGACATTTCAGGTACGTTTGTACGTATATTTAATAATAAAAATAATTTTTCTTGTATAGTCATTTAACCACATTATTCTTAAATCGTTCAACTAAACCTTGTGATTGACGTTTACAAGCAAGTGTGATTACTCTATCAATACAATTAATATTATATAAATACATATATTATGTTAAAGGTATAACACTGTATTCACTGTAGTCCTTACAATATAATACACAAACGCAATCGTATAATTGGAAATTATAAGTTTTTATACATGAAATATTATATAGTATTTTTCTGTGTGCACCATCGAACTTACATGAATTCGAAGTATTCGTGGTTAAAAAGGTGTAATAATAGGAATTCCAATAAGTCTTTAGTGGTCGTCATAAAAGCTGTACAATTCTATATTTTCAGAAAACTATTCTTTATTGTAGTACATAATTATTGTGCCTGCCTACATTTAATGTAACCAAATTATAGCGAAAAACATTAACCCATATTAATTCAATCAATAATTAATTACCAAATGTAATGTAACATCCATCAATAAACCAGTGCCTACATTATCATGAGAATTACAGGGAACATATTTTAACAAAATTTAAACTTTTTAGCCAAAGAAATTGCTTAAGTCTTCAAAGAATAATAAGAGGAAATGGCGTTTAGTAATAATTCGATTTTCTCAAACCTAATTCAAATGTAATACAATTAAAATGTGTTCACAAGATAATTATAAATTCAAAACATTTCTTTAGTAATTTTCATTTTTTTTAGTTGAAAAAAGTTAGACAAAGGTTAGGTTATCAATGGAAAAACAAAAATTACTTGCTCTTTAATTTTGCAAATTTACGATGAAGAAAATTATCCTTATTATAAAATGTTTAAATATGTTTAAACTTAATATGAAGTACGATTACAGTTAACATGTTTTGTTAACAATTATTAAACTTAAAAAGGTAAAATCCTATCAAAATATTTAAAAAATAAAAACATTCTATTCTATTTTACTTCTAATTTTACATAAAATAAAATTACATTACAGGTTACATTGTAACAATATAATATTAACTAATGTAACTTTGAAGTACAAAACATATTAAACTAATTTTTTCTTTCCATTGACTAAAATACTGAAATAATTAATTAACATTTAATTATTATGACAACTAGTAACGTTAATATAAATTATAACAATAGTTGCAACACAAATATAATTATATCTAATTAGGAAAGATTCAAAAATGTCAATTAGGTACAATTTTAATGAAAAAATGTGGAAATAGTCATTCTTTTTTTTTCTTTTTGAATAAAACGACACACATATTTGTTTAAAACTCAACTGACAATTATTGTCATATCGTTGTTAAGTCATACGCTTTGCTTCGCCCGATCAATTAATATATTTTAATTAAGCAGAAATCATTTTACATTCATAGTCAAATGTCTAAACAGATGATTTATAATTTAAAAAAAATTCTTGGCAATACTATGTAATTGTAATATAGTATAATATGTATAACTATATATCTATAATAATTATAGTTACTATTTCCTGGAAACTAAAGTACTATTAAAACATAAATTTGAATATATATTATATATTTCTGTATATTAAAAAGACTTAACTAAAAATTTTGAAAATTCAAACTTAAATGCTTGAATAAAGTGAGTTTTAGTTAATTGGACAACTAATATTATTATTTATGTATTTTTTTTTTTTTTTTATGCAAATAACAATCAAAACGTGAAAATTTTAAAATTTTAATTAAAATTAAACTGAACCGTTTCAATATTTTTAAATATTGAAACTGGTTATCGAAACCTTACAAAAAACCTTTCTTCAATTTTCTTAAAAATCGATACAGATATTTTTTAACAAATAATTATTTTTACTTTTTTCAGTTCCATTAATTAGGTAATAATAATTATTGGTTCAATAAATTTGGTTGCAAATGTATACGTGAATGTAATGTATATAACAATGTATGTTATATGTTAATGTATAAATTTTCTATTTTTATATTTATCAAAAGTTCCGGAAAACAATAGAATAATATGTGAAGTTACCAAAATCTTATATAATATAAAATGTTATTCACTACCCGTTAATTATTGTTTATTGACCCATTTTCATGATTATTTCCCTATAGTTTATTTATAATTTTGGACGATAATGTTGAGTGACGATGATGACTTATAAATTGGTTATTAAACCATCATAAATACGTACCCGTATAAGTTATTATTGTAACATCGACTAATCGACTAATAAATATGTATTTTCATAATACACACACACACACATACCTATTTATGTAAATAATATAATATTATCAATAACTTATGAATAAAATCTTATAAAATTAAAATCGCATATTGTATAAAAATATTTAATACTAGGTATTGTAATTACATACTATTAACACAAAATATGAATTTTTTAGAAAAAATTTTAAAATATTGCATTTTCTGGTATAAAGTTTATGAGTTTAAAACGGGAGGTCACAGACTCACAGCTATTCAGTAAAATAATTAAGTGATATCCTAAGTATTGTATAAAATTGATTATTATGAGTATTATGAATAATTATATCAATATACTTTTCAGTTACGAAAAATTATATACCTGTTCTTTTGCTCAAATGTTCAGTGAGTAATCAAGTGGCATTTACAACTAAAAATTTAGTCATATGGCTATACT